TGTATATGAATGTTTTTTGTGCACAATTTTATCAATTTTCCCAATTAATTACAACCACATTGTGCTGAAGTGATTTCCTTCTATCTATATAAGATCAGTCATGCATTTTCTACTATCACTGATAACATCCTCAGAGTGAATATTACGAGTAATTCGTGGAAACGCCCCCTTACTAGCCAGTTACCATCTGGTATTTATGTGTTTTAATTGGAACTACTATTAGTATATAGTATATGAATTTTCTCTCAGGAGTTCCGAAACCTCCTCTCCTTTATAAAAATATCAAGGGGGGGGGGGGGGAAGGGAGGGAGATTAACGCCCACTTTTCGGAATATTCTAACACTACATGCGTTAACAATTTAACAGTTTAACATACATGTATACAACATTTAAAGATTGCACTGTGGACAAAGTGCACTGGGCATTATATTGTACAGAAAAAAAGGAAAATATACATTGACTGCGAAAGAAAAGTTTTCAATATCTCGTTTAAAAAAAAAAAATCGAACGAAGTTTATATACCTGATGTCTGGGGCGTCCAACAATGGAGGGGAACACAGCCCTGGGGGCATCGTCTCCGGCGAATCCAGCCTTGCACATTCCAGATCCATTATCGATAACTAAAGCCGCAACATCATCGTCTGCCATTGTGAAAGATTATGTTTGATAATAGTTTTGTAAGCTGGTCAGGGTTTGTCTGTATTGTTCTGCTTCTCTGGTCAGAGTGAACACTCTCGTAGTAAAACTGACCTTATATCTGCACTCTACGCCCAATTCCACGAAATCGCGCTTGTCCTCGGCCGTTTGCCATATAAGGTAATGACTCATCGCCAAATAAGGAATTACGATTAGGTTTGACTACATAATTGAGATACCCTCAATACAATCATAATGATTAAGTTAAGCTGATAACGATCTGTAATCTACCTGGGGCTTACACCTATATCACATTTATTTATGGAGGGCATAATTACATACTTAGCATTTATATGAGGAATGGCGTCTTTCATGACACGATGTTTATTTGCTTTAAAATTTCATCAAAATGTTTGTGTACTGACTTTTAAAGTGTACAGGGATTGTAAATCACATATTTATTCTGTATGCTGAGAGATCGTAACTTGATCAAAGTATTTTAAGAATAAACTTTGCCAAATTTTTTTTTTTTTAAATTTCATGTCAGCTCAAGAACAAAACTTGTACAGCTTTGACAAATAATGGTTTTGATAAACATAATATGAAATTCAGAAATGCACATATGTGTGCATACATTAATTGAATAAGGAGAAAAACCTACTTTTCTGCCTTGTTTTAGCCTGTTTTGTATAGAGGGTTTCCTTCTCAGAAGGAAATCACAATAAATCATTTCCCACTGCGAACATCTAATATTTCCCCAATGAAATGCCAGGAATTGTTTAACCTTTGATATTCTTTTTTAGACAAATATAGACATGCTCTTTATAGGTAATGTGTGAGGGAAGTGAAATATCCGTGTTTTGTTGTTGTTATGATTAGCATCACCATGTAATTACAATCAACAGTCTTTCCTTCTATAAGAAAAGTTAATCTTTATTAAGGGTAGAATTTAAAATTGACCAAAATAAACGAGGTTTAATAAGATTCTGGCATCCCCTTCTCTCTCTCTCTCTCTCTCTCTCAAATTAAGTAAATTTGTATAAAACCACAAATGAATAATCTTCATATGACTACTAATGTGTATCAGCTGTGTTAAGATTAAATAACTTTTTTCTGGTTTCAGGTTTTATCCAGGGTCATGAATGCTTTTCTTGGTCATAAAACTAAATCATGGTTTCGTAACATCTATATCATGAAGCGGATACTTAGTATATTTCATACAAATATCGTGGAAACGCAACATGGCACTTGGGGGGCAGGACCCCCCCCCTTTCCATTTTTTTTCTTTTTTAAATCTGGTGTTGACACACATTTTTCCTATTTGTGTACTCTAATATGCACTACCTGATATCGATAATGTAACCCTTTTGCCTTAATAAGCTGTTTTTAAATTAAATATATCGTTTTCGAATGATACTTAAAAAGCTCTCTTATTGAGACAAAGGGGTAACATTATCGATACCATGTAGTGCATATAAGAATACAAAAATAGAGAAAAGGTGTGTCGACCCCAGAGTTAAAAAAGAAAAACAAATGGAAAGGGGGATGGGGGATCCAGCCCCCAAGTGCCTGTGGGAAACACCTTTGTTTGAATCAATATTTAGTCAGTCATAATCATTCCAGTAAAATCCGACAGTAAAAAAAATCTTAATGATATCAATATAACCTGTCCCATTTACTGATACATATTAAATGTCTTTTGTCTGTTTTTATACCAAGTCGAGAGATATACTGAATACACTGTGAGATAACTAATTTCCCAAAAGAAAAAATAGACATGGAATTAAACTTCCGTGAAAGAATTTAAACCACTCGATTTGCTGACAATCACTTCTTCCTGAATCAAACTGACAATAATTTACCCCAAAGGAAACCCAGATTAATTGCATCCTGAGTCGTGGGGGAGGTATATCTTCTCTCCTATGTAAAAAAAAAAATCAAGTGAACATACACACACACACACGCATATCGTCATAAATTGAATGGGAATATGTCTTTTTTTAGGAAAGCGTGTTTCATTGACATACGTAATATGATATGCTGTATAGTAAAGTATATAAAGGGAAAATGGAAAAGACTTGAGGAATAGAGATGAAATGGGATTCAGAATTAAAGGTAGACGGAAGACGAAATCTTGTGCCTTCGTCACGTTATGATGTACTATTCAGAGGTGACATAGTATATTACATGTATAACTATTACAAAATATGGACAAGTCGTCTAGAGTGAAAAACAACACTGCGTTCTAATTTTTTTTTACTTCACTGCAGTGTATTTTTCATAAATATACATAGCAAATTTCAAATGCATACATGATCGAATAACAAAATATGGGTCTTTATGTTACATGTGTGGTATCGCCTTACGGCGCACGGATGATAACGTCAAGTGTCGATAGAGCAACGTCACGTTTCATCTTAATTAAAAAATACTTCGGTAACCCCCACTTTAAATTTCCCTTTATTCAACTATAACTATATTTTCTACATTTCGACATAATAGACAAGGACTTAAAAACATGATAATTATTACTCCAACCATATCTATTTCATACTTCTATTTCGAAATAATATTCGCGTATTCTTTGAATCCCTTATTTTTTGGTCGTGTGCCGTAGGACAAAGCCCTGTATGCACATTCAAGTGTAATAAAACTCTTATTATTGTCTATACATTTTTAAAATAATAATATACTCAGGTACGGTTAATAAGCATTCATTTGTTGAAATTTTCAGCTCAGTGCATGCAGTTTTTTTTTAATAAAAACGCGTTGTGCACGATTTTACCGGGCAACCCTCGTAATAATATTTCAAATAATTTTCGTTTTTGAAATGAAATCATAAAAAATGAATTATCACCGTACATAATATTATTTTTTATGTAGACGGTTAGCCATTATAATACTCAGGAATTTGTGACAGTCGGACGTTTTTATTTTAGAAATCATTCTTGGTGTAATGATTGATGGCTGCTCAGTTATGTCTCTAAAAAAAAATCTAAAGCATTTTCCGATATCCGAATATCATTTTCGGATATCAAAAAAATATCGATTTTTTGATATTAAAAGAAATAGATAACGAGAATTCAAATGTTTGATATTAAAACATTTATGTTAATTTCAGATTTAAAAAATGTTAATATAAAAAAAAATCTTCTTATTTCAGAAATTTCGAATTCTTCATATCAAGAATTATTATCTTTTATATTAATTATTCTTATGTAAAGAATTGGACGATATCAAGATATCAGAAATAGTTCTAAAACGGGGACTCATATACTCTTGCACGAGTTTCAACTTTATTTGACTCTTGCACGAGTTTCAACTTTATTTGATTATTTTACCACACGTTTTTCCTTTTGGGTTTATTATAGCGTTTTAGTTTTCAGGCTCGTAGGAAGCAATTTCACTTTGAGGGGCACAACCATACATTTTCAGTTGGGGAGGGGGGGCACTATCAACTGCCAAAATTCCTTGTCAAGCAAAAAAAAAAAAAAAAAAAAAAAAAAAAAAAAAAAAAAAAAAAAAGGCCAACAGACGTTATTATTGAGGGGACACAAGCATATAGTAGCTATGTTTTCTATAGTCGCGGTATTCTATATATCGGCAAAATTATTGGGGGCACGCCCCCCCCCCCCCGTGCCCCCCGGTTCCTACGGTCATGAATATTGACGAAATTACAAACACACAAATACTAATAGTAGTATAGCTGAGATTGGGAAACAAGGCAATAGGCTTATAATATTAATCCCACTCTCTAAAGAAATTTTCTTTTTTGAAATCCTGCTCTCTACAGAAATTTTCTCTCTTGAAATGAAGGATAAATTTCACAAATGAATTTTTATTAAAAAATCAGCAATAAATCTAATAGATTTATGTTAGTGTAGATAACCTGAATAATGTTTGCAAGGGCTGGTATATTTAGAAATTTTGTAAGATTTTGTATTAAGTCATAAAATGTGTGCAAAAATTAATATAGATTTGTAAAAAAAAAAAAAAAAAAAAAAAAAAAAAAGACACACAACTGGTCTCAAATTTGAACACCAAAGAATGTGTCATTCCTATTCAGAATCAGTCAAAAAAGTAAACAGGTCCATGCATCGATTTTTGTTTGCGTTCAATGAATGTAAACCCTACACAATATTATTTTCATGTAGACGGTTACCATTACACTCAGTATTTGGGTATATTTTACTACTATAATGAGATATGTGTTTGCCAAAATGAATCCTGACTAGTTTCATATTAAAGTAAGTTTCAGTCTATATGTGACAATTTGAATCTACGCGTAATCATCTGTGTTCATCGAACGTTGTTCAATCCCATCGGGATCGTTATTCCAAAATATTCCACCAATGGTCGTCCAAACATGACCGAAGAGCAGAGGAAAAGACGGTTTCCTCTAAACTTTCCAATTATTTGTTTGTTATTCCTTGTTTTATGCAGTATACAGCTAGTTGGTAATTAATTTGTCAATCCATATTTAAATTTATTTATATTTTCAAGGATTTTTATCGACCATTCCATTTTCTATTGGAAATGTGAACCAGAACAACAATAAATTGACTACATCAGACCTATGTAAAATCATCATAAATACTGCCAGTTATATATTGTGGTAAAAAGTAAGCATGTTTTATTATTTAGATGGGAATGGGTTGGTGTATTTCCAAGATTTTGTTCCATCAGCCATGGAGAGGCACATCAAGTCGTCCAGACACTTGCCTATTTGCATCTTGTTTAGGAACACTGGTTTGTATATAATTCTGTTACTTGAAAGAAGAAATATGAAACTGCAAATGAGCTTTAAGATGTATTAAAGCTCAACTCTATATCAACATAAGATTTCAGCATCCATTCCTTTTTCAACCAAAATTTAATGTTATTTCAATTTTTAGGTATGTAATCATTTCAGCCTTGTTGAAACAATGTTGAAAGGTCTGCTGGGTAGACATGTCACCAGTGATTTTTTTTTAGCCAAGTAAGGTCCAAATATCAGCCATTTCCCCTTACAAGAATTAAAGAATTTTTCTCAATTGAACTTATATCCCCCCCCCCCCCCAAAAAAAAAAAAAACCTTTGTAGAAAAAGGAAAGGTCACTGCAATTTAGAGATATTTTTTTATCAATTTAAAGTGTTAAAGAGATGTAATACAAAAGATAGAATTAAAATAAATCAACAAGGATCGACATTAACGGTTGTCCGATTGCCCGGGACAAGTAAATTCTCAGTTCGGGCAAGTGAAATTGTCAACATACTTGTGAATTTTTCTCATACAAATGTACATATCTATTTAGTTTACATTAATGTATAAATAAAAAAATTAATTGAACGCTTGATTTCTGCCACACACTTGACTGACAATGTTTTTGCATTCGGAATACCTTGGTAGTGTTTCTGGATTATACAGATTATTTAAAATTCAGTTTCGATATTTTCTTTCATTGTAAATACGCTCTAAGTCTAACAAAATTTTGTTAACTTCTTTTTAGAAAATTAGATTATTTATTTACGCACAGAATATAACTACAGTGTAACACAATGTATCCTGGTCAAGGTAAGATGTATGTTTCGTAGCAACTAGCTTCCTTTTATAGCGTTGCTTCACAGTTATCTCTGAAAATCTCGATTCACAAAAGGATCCTACCAAAAAATATTTTTAAAAATATGAATTTTATGAAAGGGAAACGGAGGGTTATTGCTGCATGGCAGTGTGTGTTAACAGGTTTAATTTACAAGTACAGTGGTATACATTTATGTACAAATGCAGCAAAAAAAAAAAAAGAAAAAAAAGAAGAATTTTTTTCAGGTAGTTCAACTTGCCAAATTGCCAATCAGAACTTGCCAGAAGTGTATTTGGTCACATTTTTTCTTATCATAACGTTTACAGTAATTAATAATTTTCCTCTTAAGTTCTTTCCTAATTTTGGGCAACCAAGTTTTGCATTCGGACAAGTCAAGTTTGAGATCACTTGCCCGAAGGGCAAGTGAATCTGGAAATTAATGTCTATCCCTGAATCAAGTTTTATATGATATAATTTATTTAGCTTTATACCTAGTATTTACTATGATATTTTTTATTGTTTTTTTTTCCAAATTTGTTGAAAATTTTGATAATTTTTCATAGTTCAAAAGAAACAGGACCTTTTTAAAAATGTTGAAAAATCACCATGTCATGATCAGAACATGTATTTCTAATGACAGGTTAAATTAATAAGGTTCTTTTGGGTCTTCAGAAATCATTGATAAATCATAATACAGTACTGTCTATCTAGACTAGTCTCTACTTATTCATAAGTACAGAGCTACCTATTGGAGTTCCCATTTGGAATTTTCAATTTGACATCATTTCACCTCATGATAAAGAGGAATACAGGGCTCAACACGTCCAACTGACTCAGCCTAGTAATTGTTTTGCCCGGTCTAGTTTATTCTGTTGTTATTTTGTGCATGGGATCAGTCATAGTTTAACTAGGCCTAGAACTAAATTGAGTTGAAATATGATACATTTCCCTTTCTGATATTTTCTTAAGCTCAATGAAAAGAAGTTTATTCAGTTTTTTTTTTTTTTGCACCAAAAAACTAACTTACAATAAAGATTGATTAATTTACATTGACCATGTCCTTATTTGACTGTTTTTTTTTTGTCATGTTAATATCACACTAAATTGTCATGTTTGCATTTTTTTGTGATATTGGCTTCCAAGAAGAAGGCTTCAATAGACATAGTGCCCTGGCTTTAGGGTTTTCACTGCCACATCTGTCGTCTTGTAATCCATAATAAATAATTCTTTTAACATTACTGGTAATTGAGTTATTCAGTGATCCACAGATATTAGCCCAGGTCTAGTAAAGTTGAGGTCAGTTGTAGTAAAATTTTCTGGTACTAGTCTGACTGGTTTAGTTTGTTTTAAAACTAATGTTGAGCAGCTGGAATACAATTATCAAACCCTGTCTCTAATTTTATACCTCTTTTCCCAGCAACTGAAGGATCTAAGCTAGAGAAACATATTTATACCTTATGGAAAAATGAATCAAGCAGTTACAAAGACTGGCAATTTGGGTCTTATTCATTTGATAGAGTGAGTACATTTTTATTATTAAACCTAACATTCTTAATCATTTGTCTGTTTTCATTGTTTAAGAACAGCTCATCCTAGAAATAAATTACATTCTGTTCATAATTATTTATCTTGAAATTCATCAAATCTGTAAATAAAATCACGCCAAGCTTTATTCTTTTAAATGAGAATATAATAATTTTTTTATTTGTTTTTTTTTTGGGGGGGGGGGGGGGGGAGGGGAGGGGTATCATATATTTTGATTGCATTTCTTTATTTTGTAGAAGTTTCTTTTGATGTAATTTTTATAACTTACTTGTACATTTAAAAATTGTTTGAAATTTTCAGCATGAATTGGTGAGGGAGAGAAAACCAGAGCACATGCCAGCAGTCAAGTGTTATCTGGGACAGTCTTCATCATATCTGTATGAAGGAAAATCAAAAAAATCACTCCTCAACCATTGGCTGAATACATTAGTAAGACTGAAAAATAGAAATAATCAGTAACAACTTACCACATGTACATGTGGGTACAGTATTTAATAAATTAGTAAGACTGAAAAATAGAAATAATCAGTAACGACTTACCACAGGTACATGTGGGTACAGTATTTAATAAATTAGTAAGATTGAAAAAAAGAAATAATCAGTAACAACTTACCACAGGTACATGTGGGTACAGTATTTAAACAAGTGCTGACTGTGAATGCACTAATGTGTGGCTGTTATCAATCAATGTTTATTTCACCAAGAAATACACAAAATCAATTTTTATACTATTTCAAAATTTGCCAAGCATGATTCTATGTTTTGTACAACTGGGAACCAGTATTTACAAACTAAAAAGTGTTAAACAAAAAGCACATCTTTGTATGTAGGTTGATCGACACAGTGAACAGCTGCAGGACGCCTCTCCTGATCTTGTTAGAGTTGCCATAGAAACACACAATATAACCATCCTAGCTTTCCCAGATCATCATAATCATCACCATGTGGAAGAAAAGGTATTCCAGGTAGGACCTATAAAGAGAAATAACTCTCTGGTGTCATCATGGTATGTTAATATTTCAGGTTTTATGGATTATTTAGTCTAACTTTCAGGAGAAAACCAGTAAAGTTATAATAAAAAACAGTATGCATAAACGATCAAACCTCTTTATCTCGAATTCGATGGGACAAATAAAAAAAACTGTTAAGATATCCAAGGATTCAAGATATCAAGGATAAAATACTTGAAAATGTTAAGAGGTTGATACTCCCAAATCACTTCAACATATCCATGATATTCCAATACTGGTCTTCGAGACGATGAAGTTCAACTGTATTCATAATAATTCAAGAGATAACTATGTATAATCATTTCATAATTAATCTAAAATCAGAAGCAAGATTGGGGATGTGTAAAAAACTGGTTTGAATTGGTTCATAGACCATGGTTAATGCACTTCTCAAAGCTGCTTAAACAGTTGTATTGTAAAATTTAAAAAGATTTTCTTGGATGTATGTATTTCAGAATTCAGACATATTTATGATACATAATACATATGTGAAAGTATTTTGGAAGGGGGAAAACAGGCATCTAGGAATTTATGTATATGTATCTTAGTTAAATTGCCGAGATGTGTGGTTAAAGGGAGATAACTTATTTCATTTCTTGCTTTTTACAAAAAATCTGTTATTTTCAGTTATCTGTGGGGAAAGTGGAAGATGTAATTTTGTTCACTTTCCAAAATGTTAGTGTTGCTTGGCTGAATTACACTCCAATTTTTTGCACTTCAGTTTTATCATTCAGAGTAACAGATTACAGTGTAGTTTTAACATGTTTAAAAATGAATTATTCATGTCTTTGATACACGCTATAATGGTTTCTTTGAAGCTAGATGTAATGTTTTATTAAGAGTGAAGGTACGCTATGGCATTTTAAGTTGCAGATGTAATTGCAGGGATGGACATTAATGGTTGTCCGATTGCCAGGGGCAAGTAAATTCTCAGTTCGGGCAAATGAAACTGTCAACATACTTGTTTGATCGGGCAAGTGAATGTTCCTGATAGAAATGTATATTGTTATCTAGCTTAATTTTTATAAATAAAACAATAAATTGAACACTTGTTTTCTGTCTGAAATGTGACTGACATTGTTTTTGCATTCAGTAGTGTTTCTAGATTATACTGTCCATTCAGAAATTTGGTTTGTTATTCTTTTTTCTTTTCTGGTAAATATGCTCTACATCTTACAGCTTTGTTACCTACGTACATGTATTAGGCAATTGAATTATTTATTCAAAAACATGAGGTATCCTGATCAAGATATGTATGTTTCATAATAACTGTCTTCCTCAAATGTTGCTTCACAGTCATCTCTGAAAATCAAAATTCATAAAGGATCCTACCTATAATAGTTTTTAAAAATATGAATTTTATTCAAGGGAGATGTTACTGCTGCATGGTAGTGTGAGTTTTGTAAGTTTACAAGTTAAATTGACAAGGACAGTTGTACATGTACACATATATGTACAGACATAGCACTGACATTTCTTTCTGGCAGCTCAACTTGCCAAATAGACAGTAGTGTATCTGGTCACAATTTTTTTCATAACATTTACAGTATAAAATCAAATTATTTTCTTCTCTTAATTTTGGGCACAAAAGTTTTCCATTGTACAAGTCAAAGTTTGAGTTCACTTGCCCAAAGGCCAAGTGAATCTGTAAGTTAATGTCTATCCCAAATTTGAATTTTCACTAAAGAACACATCTATCCACCAGGCTGCATTGAAAAAAATTCATCATTATCTTTGATGCCTATTTAGTGGTGCATTATAATCAGTTCATGGATATTTTTTGATTATTATGGAACATTGATTTTAAGCTTAATATTCTTCCTACTTTAAGTGTAATTAATCTTTGTATTTTCTTGTACAGCTCGCTGAGAACACACCCAGTTGTAAAGCCTTCATCATACATCCTTACTCCATTCACACCAAGTAAGTCAAAAGTCAAGATTGAATTCTAAGTTTTTATGGACATCTCGGTAATTTATGATCTCTCTTTCTCTTGAAAATCATTATTTCTTCTTTTTTTTTATTATAGTGATTTAAGAGAGATTTATGAGGTGCCAGATATACCTTCTATTCTCGTGATAACGAAAGATGGTAAGTCAGGTTTAGGCTGTAGTATCTCAATTTTTTTCTAGGTCAACAGTTTCCCTTAAATATTTATTTTAGAAAAGTTGAAAATATAATTATTTAGAACAAAAATGTGTGGGATACAATTTATAAAAAAAAAATTTCAATTGTTTACAGGTAAAAAAGGGAACAAATTGATGCGTCGGTTATTCTCAAGACAGCATATACAGACTGCAATGTTAGACATCCACCTGGTAGCTTCACAGATCAGCTCAATAAATCGTTACACTGAAGTATGTTCCTTTGATTAAATTATGCACACTTGTGACATTGAAATATGAAAATCTATGTATATTTGTCAGACTAATGGCTTCATAGCATATTGCAGACAATTAACTAAAATTTTGTCTCACCTTAATCAATTATTAAAAATACATGTACAACATTTAAGAACTATCAAAATATTGAAATCTGCTTTTATTTTTCCTTTTTATCAGCAAAAATGAGCTATAGACTTGTATGAGTTAGTGATAAAAAATGTTGTTTAACTATCATTTGACTGTTAACTTTTCACATTTTCAATTTTTGATATTACATTGTACATGTACATGGAAATTTAATATTCATATTAGGAAGAATTTGAGAAGAATGTGATGACCTTGAGAGGAACCCGTTACATCCCCAAGGTTATAGTTTTCTATGCCTACTGGGGAGGAAATGTTAAGGCCTATCTGTCAGCCTTCAGGAGGAGTGTGGAGGAGTTCCAGGAACTGGGGGTGTCCCTGGAGTATGGAATGGTGGACCTGGCACAGGAGGCTGGCAAAAAATGTAAAGTTCTGCCATTTGTCTTACAATAATGTGTATCGTCACATGTATAAAGCTTACTATGTGGGGCAGGTCATCTGGTGAAATACCGCCTTTGATCGTGATTTGATAGAAGAAATATGCTCCAATATTACCTTAATTGTTAAACTGAGGCACAGTTTGCAAATGAAGTCACAGAACAAATGAATGTTGTAAAAGCTTAATGTGTGATACAAATACTAAAAACACCTAAAGTTATTTCATTTTAAAGCAGTATCATCCAATTAAATTATGTTTGTTCACCAAGTAAGCCCTCCAAAAATATTTCCTTTTTTAGTTCCATTTAATATGGTAAATGACAAGACACATGTACACATAAAATACTTTAAAAATATTTATTTTTGTAGAGGAACATGTTAAATACTGTACGTGTACATAAATTGGTGTATTCGAAATTTAGCGCAATCACTAGGTATGGAATTGTTGGCGAAATCAATTAGCGATTTACATGTCCATGCTGTATATTGCATATCTAAATGATTTCTTAGCGGTATTCATGAATTAGCGCATCGTTGCCTGCACCAAAGCCGCTAAAATATGAAGCCTGCTTTTTTAAGTACACATACAGTAAGTATGTGTATGAGTCTCGTATGAGTTTAAATTTTCAGCAAGGAATTATTTAGTGCCCTATATGTGAAATGAGGGGACAATAGGTTTCCTCTCCATCTGTCTGTCAGTCAGTCTTCCCTTATTAGTTTTTTTTTTTTTTATCAAGATGCTTTTACATTAATTTGTTCTACAGTGGTGTCCAAATGGATCAGAAGCAAGGTTGCCAGAAATGTACCATTTACCATACTGTTTCATACAGGTATATTTGTATGTTATATATGTGTATATCTCAACAATTTTTTTTTTTACCTTTGTAATCAGAAATTTTGTACATATAGTCTATCTGTCTGTTTGTCTGCAAAAACTTTAACCATAGCATTTGAATAGTTGCTTGACAATCAAAATGAATAAATGGTGATGTTTAAAATTAAAAAGAAACCTTTTTATGTTCAGATGAGAGAAATGACTACCTCATTCAGGAGGGACTGATGGAAGACCGCCCCACCCCCTCTGAACTGTACCAGCTGTTCAAATCAGCCACTGTTAATATTACTTACCAAGATGGGAGATTATTCAATGATTACCTCCCTTATGGTCAAACAGATCCGTCACAGGTCAGGGCTTAATTTGTTAATCAAAATTAATGAATACGTGTACAGTTGAACTTAGGTATCTTGAACACTGATATCTCAAATACCATGGATATGTCGAAGTGATTTTGAAGTCCTAAGGGCTTATTTCGTAATTATTTTACCCTGGATATCTCAAATCCTCAGAAATCTTGAAGTATTTTCTTGTCCCTGAAGTTTGAGATAATGACGTTTGACTGTATATTGAATTTGGCAATTTTAACGAATTTTTTTTCCTTATTATTTTTTAAATATATTTACATTCACAAATATCCTGCATTTAAAAAGAACAAACCATATGTTATTGTTTTTTTTCAGTATTCTTTATTGGATGAGGGGCCAATGGGCCATCTTTGTCATCCCTGGTCACATAATAGGACAGACAGCGATCCACCTGTTCCTGTGGTCAAACAAATAAAGAAGAAACCACCACCACAAAAGAAACACATCAAGGAAAAAGGCTGGCATGAAAGGGTAAAACTCATTGCTCATTTTGTTTTAAGGTAATGTTTATATACAGAATTCCCTGCTATCTGAAATTAACCTTGCATCACATACCTGTATTACAAATATTTAAATCGGAGGTAGAAATTTTGCTGATATTCACTCTCTATACATGACATTTCAGTTGTGAAAAATTAATAGTTGTAAGATCTGCTTTCATTGCAGTTTGGATCTGAAAATGTGGACAAAAAGCTGAAAAAATATCATGGAGTTCCCCTTTTATCACATGACATGTGGTCAGAAGTCATAGAAATATCACATGCTCCCTCACACCCCCTGCTTGGAGGAAATCATTGGGCAGGGGAGGTTTCAAAGATAGCACTGGTGAGTGTATGCCATAATAAATACAGTCAAACCTCATTATCTCGAACTCTACAGGACTAAAATTAAACTTTGATATATCCAAGCATTTGAGATAAGAAGGGTTAAAAACATAAGGAAAACATAGGTAATCAGAGATTACAGAGCTCACCTCAACGAAAGTTGTCTTTAAGTAAGGCAAAGTCCCAAATAATAATCTAGTAGTGTGCATCCCTAGATGTAACATTTATGCAATTTTGGTCCGATAGGGCTTGCAGTTACTTGAGAATGGACTTAACTAAAACTTTAAACTAGTCACTCATCGAGGTAATGTAAGTCATATCCAGCATCTGAAGCAAGTTTGAGAGTGTTCATCCTGTGATGCATCATCCATGCAAGTTTGGTTCAGATAGCCCTTATAGTTTACTTTAACCTGGTCACTCATCTGGAAAATGTCGGTCAGATACAGCATCCGAAGTAAGCCTGGTAGTGTGCATCTTCAGATGTATCATCCATGCAAGTTTGGTCAACTTAGGGCTTAAAGTTACTTGGAAATGAGACCTGCTCTAAAAACATTAACCTGGTCACTCATCCAGAAAATGTCAGTCAGATTCAGCATCTGAAGCAAGTCCAGTAGTGTGCATCCTTAGATATATCATTTTAGCAAGTTTGGTCAACATAGGACTTAAAGTTACTCGGAAATGAGACCTGCTCCAAAAACCTTAACCCGGTCCCTCATCCAGAAAATGTAGGTCAAATCCAGCATCCGAAGCAAGTTTAGTAGTGTGCATCCTTAGATGTATCATCCATGCAAGTTTGGTCAATATAGGTCTTTTCTTTACTTGGAAATGAGACCTGCTCTAAAAACTCTAACCTGGTCTCTCATCTGGAAAATGTAGGTCAAATCCAGCATCCGAAGCAAGTCCAGTAGTGTGCATCCTTAGATGTATCATTCATGCAAGTTTTGTCAATATAGGGCTTATAGTTACTTGGAAATGAGACCTGCTCTAAAAACTTTAACCTGGTCACTCATCTGGAAAATGTAGGTCAGATCCAACATCCGAAGCAAGCATGGTAGTGTGCATCCTCAGATGTATCATCCACGCAAGTTTGGTCAATATGGGGCTTATAGTTACTTGGAAAGGAGACCTGCTCCAAAAACTTCAACCTGCTATAAGAACTTTAACCCGCTCCAAAAACATTAACCTGGTCATTCTTCAGCTGAAATTGCAGCATCTGAAACCTTGACTGGTACAATGAAACATACTAGAAGCATCTTCCATGCATCTCTGATTAATATAGGGCACAGAAGTACTTGAAAAGAAAACTGCACCAAAAACTTTAACCTTGGACACCGACACCAAGGCTATTAACATAAGCTCCCCCAACTTCGTTGAGGTACATGAGCTAAATATAGTTGTGACTGCCAAATCACTTAAACAAACTTCATCTGTATATAATCTGTATTTTAAGGTTTATAAATGTTATAGGTAAATTGGTTATGTTGCGCAGGTCATTCTGTGAAATATGTTTAATACAAGTACATGTATTTTTTTTTCTGTCATAGGTAGTATTTGTGAAGGCTGACTGTAGAAGTTGTGTTAATAGTCTGGAAACTTTACTGAAGGTGCAAAAAGCACTTCATTTCATTGGTTAGTATTGTTTTGTTTAATTAATATTGTTGAACAAGTATTTAATCTATGTCATTAAAATAATGAAGCAATTTCATATGACACCGTAAATTGTCACGGTACCAATAAATCCTTGTATTAAGAATATCTTGGTGAATTGTTTTAAATTTGCTGGACCTGTATTTAAGTTCCTGATGCTATTTTTACCACAGAGGGTGGTTCCTTGTACTTGGTGAATTGTACTGTGGAGCATGAACTGTGTGTGACACACAACATTAGAGGATACCCTTACATCACAGCTTTCAGGGGACAAGGATGGCTTGGGACCTCCCAGTGTGTGTCTCCCAACACCCCACACCTACCCTACTCAAGGGTTGACTACCACGGGGTCATTCAGGTAGTACATAACACATCTTGAAAAGCATTTTTATTATCCCATCTGTATGTTAGTTATAAGCATGTTTTATGAACAATGTAACTCAAAGTTAATTTTCTTCAGTAGCCATATTTCTAGTTTTTGTAAAACTAAATCTTCTGAGTTATTGATTCCTAATAATTCCCTACTGGGTGTTGCCTAGATATATTGACAGTTGCCTAGATATATTGATTGTTGCCTAGATATATTGATTGTTGCCTAGATATATTGATCATTGAAATTGCAGTTCTAATTTTTCTTTCTAGGAAAAGGATATTATGAAATGGTTTGGAAAAGTAGCAGGAACATCTATTTTGAATCTCATGTTTGAAAAACCAAGTGAAGAAATGGTAGGTTCCATACATTTTAGCAGGATTGCAGATTTCCATATATGGAGGTCATGCAAGAACAATAGCTGAAAATTCCTATAAATAATTTAAAAAACAAATACATGTAAATGTTTTATTCCGGTGAAAAATGAGGAAAATGTGCATATCTTTGATGTCACTCAGTATATTTGTGACATCAAAACTCTGAAAATGACATCATAAATCTGTATACATGGAAGTGTTTTTTTTTGCCATACGAGGACGTTGAAATAGGGGCCATATTATAAAGGGCTTGTATGATAAGACTTTTTAGGAAAATTTAAATGGAAGTAGCTATGGACTGTAAAATAGGTAGTGTTACATGTATCAGCAATGCCATATTTATTTAGGGGTAATTGGTCATAGGTCAGATTTACGTTTTATTGTCATGGAATTTTTTTTATCCCTAAGGTATTGCTCCAATGATTAGCTTTAATTATAAGAAAACACTTAGCACCTTAGAAGAATATTAAGCAAAATTTGGGCTTAGAGCATACCTGTACATAAAATGAAAATGGCAACACACACACACATGAATATATCTTTGAATTAGATTTTAGTGTTAATTACCTGCACAGAAGGGATAGCTTTCACTAAACCCATTGTTCTATAGTATCCTGAATTTTTTATGCCATAGCTGCCTTGAATTTGGTCTGGGCATATTGTGTTTGTCATGTCCATCTTCTGTCCTTCCATTCCCCTGTTTTTCAGTCCATCACACTTTGCAAAGTTTCAAAGAAACTGTGCTAGGTTTGTTAAATAAAATTCATATATTGATACATATTATTTTTTTACCTTAACCCTCCCTGTCACCTTGACCTTACCATTCCTTATTTAGTGATTAACTCAGTTTCAAAGCAACTATTGATGATATTTTTATCAAAACTCTTAAACTGATTCACTGTGAAAACTTTTTAACTGTTGCATTATTTTTTGACCGTGACCTTCCCTGTTCCTTCATTTTGCAGTTACTTTAAAAGTTCTATATATATGAAAAAATTGTAGAAATTATTCATATTTTCATCATATTTTACTATTATCTATGACCAAAGAAAGGTGATGCATTTCTTTTCATGTTACAATATAAATGTATCCTAGGTTGGGCATTCATGTCCTATGGACATATTTCTAGTTTCATTGAAAATGGAAAGTACATAAGATAATAGTGATGTACATTTTCTATATCTTTAGTTTCATCTTTTTTTTCAGAAAGAGGATGTGAGGTTGATTGGTACACTGATTCCAAGATATTCTCGCTATTTGCCCCGCCCCCCTCACACTAAGAACCCCAACTACTACTACTCCTACCAATGCTTTAGGCTTGCATGTGAAAGGTTGTTTGGAAAGGCAGTCTGTTACACAGTGTACAGCACAGAAATACCTGCCAGAGAATATCAGGACCAGCACATGGAACTGGTTGTAACCAAGGTAAAAGGATAAAGGCTGTATACTTCGTAGGAGGGTTGTTCAATAAGTAATGCAACATACAGCTTATCATAATAAATGTAGAAGTGTTTAATTTTAATTTTTCACAGTTGAAAAGTTCTATTAAAGATCTTATAAATACTGAAAACTGCATGCTTTTTCCAACTGTCTTCTCTTAAAAATTCACTTTTAAAGTAAGCATGGTCACTATACTGAGTGGGAAAACTGTTTAAAACTGATCTCTGCCAAGAAGATGAAAATGAAGGTGTATGTGAAAATTGTGCTTTGCAAAAATGGCAGAAGAACCCATGTAAGAGATATGGTTTTGATATGTAGAAGGACTAGTCTTTGATGCTGTACAGTTTACAGTTGATTAAGAAATTCTAAAGAAAAAAAGGAGAGTTAAAAGCTCTCAGTTGAACTGGTCAATCTATATCTGTAGGGACACCAAAAAATATCGATGGTGTGGGGAGAGTGTTATCTGAAAATGCCAGATTTACATTCAAAGACATTGCCAAGACACTAAATATTTCATCAACCATAACAGTTTATAATATAGTTCTGACAAAGGAAATGAATTTAAAAATATTTCTATCAGATGGGTTCCTTATTTCCTTACAGACAGCAAACAGAAAATGTGTGTTAAATGTGGCAATGGTCTATTAAAAAATAAAATTTTAACAGAAGAGATGGTATGATAAACTTGGGTGATGAATGATGAAACATGGGTGCACTTTTTATAGCCCAAAAGGAAGATTAAAGAGAGAAAGCTGTCCTATTATTGCCAAGAGAAGCATATATGTCTTATACTGGTTTTCTTTTTGCTCAAGAGGTCCAATGATACATGTTCATACACACAAAGTAAGGACCATCAGTGGCAACTTTTATGGTAAATTTTCAGTAAGTTAAGCAGGTTTTTTGTGAGGAAAGTGCAGATACTGGCCCCAGAAAAGTTCCTATACCTGACAAAGCTGCTGCAAATAAGCATATAAGAATAAAGGAAATTTTAAAGAAAGGAAAGTTTACAGAGCTGAGATTTTTCATTCCAAAAGTGCAAGAAAGTAATCAAAGGAAGACTTTACAATTTCAGGTATGTCTTGGAGACTGCTATCAATCAGTGTCTTTTGAGCATCCCTAAAGACAAGTTATGCCAAAGTTTTGTGGTCTAGGGTACAAAGACTTAGGCCTCGTGTAAAGGTTAACAGGGAATACTTTGAGGGATTAAAAATATTAAGAAACCGCTTCTTGTGCTTTTCTTATTTTTAGATGACCTTTTGCATTACTTATTGAGTGACCCTCATACTTGAAAAAATGTAGAATTTATTTTTTTTTTTGTTTGGTGCTAGGTAGAATTCATTATTCTCCATTGATTCTGCTAAAGAAATACCACGTAATGCATTTTTTTAATACCATGTACTTGTAGTTGACATTACAAAGGCGTGATGGTGCAGAAACTGTGATTACACAGTTGGGGAAATCTTTGACAGCCATTTTAGAGGAACAAGAAGGAACTGCCATTCATAGATTTCACAGAAAGCACAGGTTGGTCATCCTCTGAAAAATTACATATGGGACAAGGTAACTTATTGTATATTGATGTAAATCTAACTTCCTTTTGTCATTTAGAAACATTAATGTAGCAGGAAATTCAAATGTCATAAAAATTAATTCTTTTTTTCTGGTAGAGTCATTTAAGATCCAGGAAATAACAGAAAGACTTCCTAGAAATTATTTGTTTAAAGAGAAATTTGTAATATGGAACAGACTTTAGCTGCTCAATATATGACACAAAATTTGCAAATGTTTCCCCTTACATAGCACTATTTTAGCAATGTGTATATATCAAAGATAGATACAGGTTTATCACATGACCACAAATTAAATGTTTTGATAATAATTGTTACATCTAGAATAGTCCATGCAATTAATTTTTCTGTGACCTAATAAATGGTCATTTTGTTGAATGGATTCAAATTATATACAGATGAGTTTTAGAAAATAAAACATTTCATGGGCTCAGGATTGTAACTGCACAAATGCATATTGAATGCAGTCTTGAAATCTGACATTTTAACATAGCAGAACAATGAACCTATTGTTTATTCTTACCTTTTTGTATATCCAGGTATGCATTTGGCCCTACCCTAAGATGTGAGGATGACCATGGTGTGTGTACAGACTTTATCATGACCTTCACACTGGACCACGCCCGTCTCCCAGTCACCCACATCACCTCAGATGCTTTCCACACAGAAATCAGGTGGGTAAGATATCTATCATCACATGTAATGTTAATGTGAAGTAAAGCACTTATATTGTCAGATTTTCTTTGTATATGCTTATCTGAGATACCACATCTAAAATTAGGCCTGTGTTTAATATGTATTGTAGAAAAGTTGTATTTTACTTGAAAAAGAATATCAATCAAATCAAATGAAAGGGGGAGCTTAGAAAAAGTCAACTTTTTTTAGTTGAAAATTGTAAAATAGAGTGAAGTGAGCTATATAGTCTAACATTGAAGAAAAAGAATCTTGAACTCAGATTGACACATTTTTCAAGCAATTTTGTGTGTGCAATTATTCAAGACCTCCTTCCCTATCACATTCCATGTGATGATAACCAATAGAGTTATCGTGAAGATCTGGCACTATTAATACTCTGCTATGGAAGGGCAACTAATATATGATGACGTGATGTCGCAGTTTAGACTGAATGTTTCGGACCTTTACCTTTCAGTGAAGAGGTTGATATAAATTAAATGTATATACATATAAAGATTTTTGATGGTACATATATCCAGTAGTAAATACAACTGTGCTCTCCTCATGCTCCATAAAACATTATATTACATTTTAAGAAGTTTTAAGTTGAAGAAAATACATGTACTTCAAAGAAAGATCAAGTTTTGATTTGGAGTGGAATTTTTTTCCTTATCTCCCAAATGATTGAAGATATTAGGAGTCCTTATGATACACCTATAATGTCACAGGTCAGATATAACATCTATAATATCACAGGTAAGATATAACACCTGTATAATATCACAGGTCAGATATAACACTATATAATGTCACAGGTCAGATTTAACATCTATATAATATCACAGGTCAGATATGACACCTATATAATGTCAAAGGTCAGTTATAACACCTGTAATATCACAGGTCAGATATAACACCTATATAATATCACAGGTCAGATATAACACCAAAAATGTCAGAGGTCAGATATAACACCTATAATATCACAGGTTAGATATAACACCTATATAATATCACAGGTCAGATATAACACCTATATAATTTCACAGGTTAGATATAACACCTATATAATATCACAGGTCAGATATAACACCTATACAATATCACAGGTCAGATATAATACCTAATAAATTCACAGGTCAGAAGATGAGGAGTTACCTATCCTGATTGCTCTCATACATCAAGAAAACATAACAGAAGACTCACCATTTCTGCAGGTATTATACAATAAAAGATTTTTTTTTTTTGCATATGCATGTTTTCAAGAATGCTGTACATGTCAAATTTAAGAATCAGAAAGTATCTATGGCTAAATTTTAATTTCAATGTATTTCATCAAAAAAGGGAAAGTAATTGAGATTTTTGTGTCAGCCAATCAGAGCCAATCATATGGGTGTGCAGGTACTTTCATATTAAGTCAACCTCACTATCCTGTCTACACTACTAATATGTTTGTATATAGAGTTTTAAAGCATTTCATAAAAAAAATTAATTGATAAAGCATCATGTATTTCAATTAGTCATTTCACATATCTACATAACATGCTTGTTAATCCTTAAAAGGCTTCATCTCAATCAGATGAGTAATTTACGAGAACTCTCACAGACATAATTTACTGGAGAAGAATTAAGAAAAAGAAAGTGAAAATAATTTATTACAAATCGTACTTTGGGGAACATAATAAATCTTCCTGTACTATATATGTTCTAATGCACATAGAATACAGACAGTAACTTAAGCTGGCTTATGGGTTTTTATTTTCAATCACGATCTTGAAATTTTTTTTTTAATTCAAGGAAAGATTCTAGGTCTCTTCATAGATTAATTTTCTCTAAAAGAAACATATTCTGAAAAATTGTTGTTACAGAGTTGTTGCTCACTAAAAATTCTTTTCATTATAGACACTGCATGCTGTAGCCAGTGAGTTGTACGACCGTCTGGTGGTGACCACATTAGATGTCAATCAATATCCAGCCTGGGCTGGACAGTTTGTTCCAGCTGATTACCAAAAAACCCTCATCAGAGGTAAAGTGATCCTCAGTACAATGAGATTGCTTTTGGAGTCATGTGGTCAAGTGTTGGCTTCTGTTGCAAAAAATGAAGTTTTGAATCTTTTTAAAAAAGCAATGGGAAAAGATTTAGTTAATCTGGAGTAGGGTAAAGCAAAGAAACAGCAAATACCAGTCAAAGCAAACATTCAAGATGTCTGGTCACTCCAAAAAGTAATTTCACATGTTAATAACTTTTATAGGAATATGTGAAGATTTGTTGAGTTAATTAGTATGGAGGGTCTCTGTAAAAGTGGAATTAGTCTCAGCTTCAGAATCCATGGATTTCATTCAGGAAAAGTTCTGTAAAGCAACAGTTTTAGGGACTTTATGTTTGAAAATTTTTACACTGGAATAAGTGTTTCATTAAGTTGCATTATTTAATTTTCCAGAGGACAGAGATGTTGAGAGTATGTACTCCTATCCAAGAATGTGTATTGTGTTCAGAAACGATCATAGAAAAGCTGCATTTTATCCACCACTGGGCAGAAACAAAAACTCTCCAAGATGGTTCTTCAAAGAAAATATCCAGAAATATACAGAAAAAGTCTTAGCAAATCCAAATAAATACATGACTCAAACAGAACATTTTTAGGAAGCTGTTTTGAAATCTGTCAAGAAATGGCATCCCAAGCAAGAACGGATTAATTTGTACATTTACGGTATTCATTCTTTTCAACTGTTGAAATGATCTGTAACCACCTGTCCCCTGCATGCCCTGTTGCTTTTCAGGCAACTGATGTAACTCTAAAAAGTGAATGCTGAGGCCATTAAAAAAATCATCTCTAGCTTCTCAGGCACCACCACATCAAGTCAAACACTTTCGCATCGATCAATTTTCTTGAACATATTGAAAAGGGAAATAACTCAATTCTTTATTTTTCCAAGTTGAAAAAGCAATTTGGGTTATTCCCCTTTTCATATCAGTCAATAGATAGACGTTTTTATTTTTCTTGTTAAAATGGTATTTTATGAATTAACTTTTACTCAGATGTTTGGAGACATTGGAGAACTAAAAAGTAAATTCTGGAAAAAAGAGATAACACCTGCTCCAATAAAAAAAAATCCTATCACATTAAATTTTGAAATTTTTGGACAAGAAACCTAAGATTAATTTTTTTTTGGCCTGACTTTTACATTTTAATCATCTCCAAAGGGTTATGATAAATGATACAAAGGAAATACTGTAAATCACTTTTTATTTGCTAGAACTTTATTTTCATGCTCTCAAAAATTTCATTCTCACGTGAGTATTATTGAAGATTAAATAGAACAATAACCAGAAATTGTAAAAATTGTGAAAATTTGATGATTTACAGTGATCAAAATAAATAGAAGTTGGTTTATTTACACTAGCTGTATTTTAATATTTTATCTTCATCATTCCCTTTTCCATGCATTGAAAGAAGAATATTTTTGATTGTGTGCATAAGCAATGTATGTAAACGTTACATATTAATGATGGAATGCATTATTTAATGTATAATATTGATATGTCAATGTGTGTACCCTGATTATGTATCATTGTACTTTCTATAAGAAGGCAGCATTGAATGTAGGGAGAGTCTGTCACAGAGAAAGTGAATACCAAGGATGTGTGAGAGTTTTTCTTGCAAGTTGTTTAAATCTGGTTTGTACTACACAGGTCTCATTAGTCACTTGTGTCATTTTAGTGAAGATTTTTTTTATGTTGTTATTCATAGCTGTTAGTTAACCTTGACCTTTACTTACTGTTCCTGAGCTGTGATTATTTATCAAGCCGTCCAGCAACATTAATTTTTTTTATGAACTTCATGCTTACTAAAAACAAATTACAACCGTTTTTTTTAATGTTATTTGTATTCATTTCTTGTGAAGACCATAGTTGTGGGTTTTCATTTCATATATCATTTACCATCTCAGAATGCAAATAAGTTTCTCAAATCTTAAAACAAAAGGCAGATTTCAAAAAATGTTATCACCACTAATTAAGCTCTTGCTTAGAACTGAAAAGTATTTTTTAAAAAAATTATCATTCTATTTTAACTGTAAAGATTTGACCTAAAAATTTTGGAAAACTATTCTTTAGAGTACTGTAGTAATTGTAGCTTTCTGTTAAATTTTAATTAGGCCATTCCAATTGTTTTTCTATGTTAAGTGTCCACCTATCATTCAAAAACCTATCTACCTATTCACAAAAAACACACACAAAAAAACATAAGCTTAAAAATAAAACACACACTAATCGTGATATAGAAATGACACCATATAAAGAATTTGATTCCACTATTCATTTTTCATGTCGAAAGATATATTTCAAAGTATATACCTAATTTGTAAGATTCTTGACAATTATGGAAAGGAATTGCCGGAATTCAAAAGGTTTCAACAAAATAATAAATTTCTGGATTTCTGAATTAGTGGATTTTCTGATATGGGTTGTCAAAAACCATGTGCATGGGGATGCTAAACAGAAAAAAAATTTGAAATGGCCTCATTTTAAATAAGAAGTAAGACAAAGAATTTTTTTTTGTTACATTTTCCAGATGGCTTGGTATATTTTTTGAACAACAACTATGGCTGTGTATTATTTTTTGGTAGATAACTTACAAGTGCAGCTGGCTGTGCTTTAAAATAGACCTTTATATCATTCTATACTTCTGTTACTTTTTTTTCTTTATAAATAGTTGTTATATTTTATTAACTTTATATACACATAAATATTTTTTTACAAAAAATTACGAGTGCTTTTTGAATTAGAAAGATAACTCCTCCTGCCGTCACCTCTTGAAGAGTTGTCGCCCCGCTTTAACAAGATGCACCTCCATAAAACTACAAAGGATGATTATTTTCTTTTATCAAAATAGAACCAGCAGAAGAGTTGCATACATTCAACTGTAGACATGTTAGATGGCAACTTGTTGTGCGCTTTATGTTTCAAGCGCAATGGAATTCCACATGCAATTCCATGTGAGTTAAAAGCCATTTCAAGCAATAAACAGTATACATGCCAGAAACAGTGCAATTCAGATTGAACTTTATGTAAATGATGAGGTTTTGTATACTTTCTGCGATCCGTCACTGTCAAATTGTACACCTGTGGAAATGTTTTGCATATCTGGGTTTTAGAATGCATAATGGAACCTTGTATATCTGTGTAGAAACTCATCTTGTTGATTTTCGATGTTTGGCGGTCGTTACTCTCTTATCGGGGTAGGACGCGACATATAGTTATATTTTTTGGCTACCATGGCGTTTTGTAAATAGAACTGTAAGAAACATTCCTCTGAAAATAAAGTGATGCCATAGATGGTTTTGTAATGAATTTTATTTTTTAAGAACTACGGAACAACTTTTTTTTTAAATATAAAATTTGCATATTTATTAGTTTTTCCTTAAGGAACAGCGATACTTTTTTGCGATGTGTTAGGTGCTTACAAATATACTCTGTAGAGAATATGCAGCCGCTAAGTGATACTAAAATATAGAATGCATTATACGAGTTTTTACCTCATTCGTGTGTGCAATAGTAGCCATTTAGATGCCTTTATATTTGATTTCAAAGAATTATTTTAAAATTAAAAACATGAAGTTATAAAACTTGAGCTCAAAAAATGTAGTTGCAATTTTTTTTTTTAATTTTGCTTCATATTGCTAGAATTTATTTCTTTTTTTTTTAGGGGGGGGGGTTAATTAACTGACGCAATTGTACAGTGAATGTTTACGTGAAAGTTCTGGATGTAAACATTGTCAGGTTAAATTCGTGACATTACCGTCGATAACATGCCACGGATCATAGGCAGCGGCCAGATTCCAAATTCCGAAGGACCTAGCATCAGTCAGGGAAAGCTACAGAGATATAACGAATGATATTTTATCTTATTTTCCATAAGAAGACGCTGATACGCAGCATGAACAAATAATGAAATAAACAACAACTGTAAACAATTCATTACTGTCCATAATACCACATGATCGTAATCAAGTTTGCAGATTTGTGGAACATTCTTTAATTCCTGTGAACTGTATCCATTAATCGGATACTGTAGTAGAGGTGTCGCCGTGTAGTAACTCACGAAGTATCAAATATGTGATCAATTTCTCTGTATTTTAATTCATTAGACTAGTACGCACATGATCAGAAAATCTAAGATATGTTCTATTGGCAAAATAGTAATAGAAACAAAATAATGATAGTATATAAATAATGAATAAAGTAAATAATGGACCAAATTCATTGGAGTTCACCTTGCTTGATTTTTTTCTTCTAATTTCGACAAATTATTTATTGTATTGACTTGAAAAATTACTGGAATTTTCTTTCCATAATTTTCCTTCAATTAACAGTTTATTTAATTATTCAATCCTTCGAATTAATGCTGTTCTATATGTTTCATATATTTGTTATTGTTGTATTATTGACATCGTGTCCTGCTCTCTGCGATGGTTTAATACTTAATGACGAGACGAATTACCAGGTTTCTCCTTATATATAGTCAGATATAAATAGACTCCGGGAAAATTGGCTTTGTCTAATTTTTTTATTCTAATATTTCCTTTTGATGCGTCTCTTCCTCGTATTACAGTCATACGAAATTGTGAACTCAATAAAGTCGCTGACAGCCCGAGTCAAGGGGATTTGACATTTGTGAATTCATTATCTCGTTATATTTGAATTTACATTCAGAAGTGTGCTTGTGTTCACCAATAACAGTCATCATATTAATTAGAGTAGATTACAGAAAAGTATTATCACACCACTGCCAAATAAAATAATACACGGACCGCGGAAAAAAAAAGAAATAATTTGCATAACGTGTTGATATTAATATAGGAAGTTCTTTTTGACCATGAACAAGTTGATGTCTTTAAGCAAATTAATGTGGAAGTATGTCGACACAATACTACCTTTTACATGTGCATATAGACGCAGTTGTTTTCAAACTACATTCATTGATTTTCTCAAGTAAATTCTTCTGCAATAATTATAACATATTTTAATCTTTAAGGAATCTTTTAGTGGGATTCCCCTGCACAGATGTTGCGGTTTCCAATATTTTACGGAAACTGCACACCTGTTATTGTTTAAAACATTGGGATTTCGATTGGTGTCCAAATAGTTTACTATTAAGCATGCTATAAGTAAATTTAAAATGGATTCAATGATAATATGATTGAGGTTCAGTTTTCGGATTGATGACTCGACACTCAGTCAGACTTTTCCATCATAAGTTCCGTGCCGTCTTGTTCTTAGAGGTTCTGCATTCTGTTTTGGTGACAATTTCAATTCATGAGTCTGATTCACCTCAGTCTAACTCATTTAAATTGTACATGTCACATTGACCTACATTTTATCAATCTGTCACATGTTTATCATAATTTTTTTTTTTTTCGCAGCGCGATACTATCACTTTTTACGGAAAAAATTTTCTATTTGACCCGATTTTGCGAAACACGTTAGTTTTGGAATTCGCTGCGAGGTAAATTTTAAAGTACAGATCCAGATTTTATTGACCTGGTTTAAGGGCTTATATCTGTACCACTTTATCAGTAGATTGATATACCCCGTTACAGAGTGAGTGGATTAACATTTTCTCTATGTAAATAGACAATAGCTCATTACCAATAAACTAAGGATAAAGTGCCAAACGAGGCAAATCTCCATAATCGAAATGTTCTATATTTTACTACTGTTCACAATCCCTCATCTGATGTCATGATTATCGGTCAAAATTTGGCAGTATCCATGCTGAAATTCAATGTCTACATTTTTCCAGCCGATAATTTATGAACTTACACCTATTTACATCTCGTGGGTAATGACGTAGGGATGGAACGTGCAAAAAAGTAGGTCCAAAGACTTTTGGGTGTAGAATTCATTCATAGTCTGGTTATGTAACTCCAAATATTTACGATATCTTAAAAACCATATCCATGTCTCTTCTACGTCCATAGCAATAATATCTGCAAACAGTGTGTAAATATTTATTGTACATGCATAGAGTACCAACTTTCTCATTAATAATTTTAGAAAGTGTTTGATTTTTTTATGTAATAAAGTGCAGGGTCGACCATTAGATCAGTATTTGTGTTCACAACGGTAGCAACAACACTCTGAAGTGTTGTGGGAGTAAAATCGATCGCTTCTCACAGGGGGCTCGCAAAACCTTTGAACCAAATTTAAACGTATTAAGGGACTACAAGATATATGAATCCCATTTATCATAAATAATTCTTTATGGCTTTTATTAAACCTGGGATACTAGGCCAATCTATGCAATGTCTTTTGATTTAACAATTTTTATAGTTTCATGGAGCCTCACTTTCGGAGCTACAACGCATTTAATTTGGTTAGAAATTTAAATGATGAGATGTTCAAGCAAAGTGCTTGTCCTTGTTAAGTTGTGGGAGTAGAGATTTTATTGATAAAAGTCAAGAGGCATGAGATGTTAAACAACCGGTCCTCAATGTCAGACCTATTTTTAAGCTATAAAAATTTCACTTGATCTTGCACTTGTTTTAGGTTATTTTACAAGGATATTTAAAATGGAATTTTACTTGCATAACTCGAACACTTGTAAACACAATTATATCAGTTCTCTTCCTTAATTAATAACGACAGAAATTCAGGTCGCCCCAAAACATGATAGAAAAATTCATATTTTCTGCCATTTAAACACTTTATAGAGATAGTTTTTTAATTATTTAGGCAACATTGATTTTGGTTTTTTTTCTTCTCAAGTTTTACAAATGTAAGATAAATAAAAATTTATATTCCTATACACAGAATCGCACAGCCACAATTAGAAATAAAAAAAAATACCAAACGAAATAGAAAGATTTCATCATTACAAAGTTTGAAATATTCCTTTCTCATGCACTTGTTGAATCTGTTAAGAAAAAATAGAATAAGATAGATCGGCGTTTGTAGACTGTTTCCTACAAATTAACTCATCTTGGCTTGAAATGATTGAATGATCCTTACCCTTTGAGTCGCAGAAAAAAGATATTCGTTTGTTTTAATTTTCAGTTCATTTATTTTGCCCTGTATTCAAGTAATCAGTTTCTGTTGATAGCATAAATTAATATAAAAGAAGAAAGGAAAGTGTGCGAATAAAAAACAAAAGGTTTTACTGTATGCGTCGTAAATATAAACGATAATATTTTCTTTCACATGAAACACACGTAAAATTTATAGCTTGAGATGCGCAAAGGCGACCATCGCACATTAACCATTTTTAATTTACTTTTTACAGTTAAAATAATATCATTATTTAATATTTATGACTGTAATCATGAAATAAATAAATATAAATAAGCATATTTTTCTTTGGCTGTGTCATTTACAATTACGTTATCTTATACTTTAATTTATCGGACAAAATCCAGTTTATATTGATTCTTGATTAATATTAAATTACACTAATTAAAGTAAAAAATTAATCATCAGCGGAAATAGGTCTGTGTATTTAATGCAGATAAATCATTCTTTGGGATACAAAAATATCCGATAACCGAAAAATTCCAGACCAGCAGTTCCTTGATGGCAACTTGATATCATTGTAAAAGGGTGTGTGATATACTTCCAGATATCAAGACTAAGAAAAAAATCAGTTTGAAATTCAAGATAGTGTGAAATGAATCAGATCTTTATAATAAAACAAAAGATTTCCAATAAGCCGTTAAAAAATTATCAGATTGTTTTAAGTTA